CCCCCCCCGCAGCCGAGAAGGCACTGCTGCGGAGCCAGCTGGACCAGACAGCCCTGGCCAAGAAGGAGCTGGAGGAAAACTGCCGCAAAGCGGGTGCCACGCTGACCAAAGCCACCCAGGAGCAGGAGAGCTGCCAGCGGGACCTGCTCACCACCAGGACCATCTGCGAGTCCACCAAAACCAACCTGGAGCTCCTGAAGCACGAGTGCAGTTCCTTGAGGTCCGACGTGAGCTACTCCTTCCAGCGCATCAAGATGCTCAGCCCATACAGCTGCAGCGCAGTCCACGAGCAGCTCAGCTGGTTGACGCAGCAGACGGAGGGGCTTTTCCTCTGGCAGCAGGAACGAGAGACCAAATACGTGGGGAAAAGCGTCTGCGACATGAACCTGCTCCAGTGTCGCATCAACTGCTCCGGGGAGAAGCAGGAGTTGGAGAAGCGGCTGCAGGACGTCGAGAAACAGGTCAAGGGCGGCCAGGAGGAGAAGAAGAAACTGCTGGTGGAGAAGGAGCAACTTGGCAAGGAGCTGGAGGAGAAGAGCAAAGCCGCCGCGCAGGCTGGGTACTTCAAGGAGCAGCTCAACATCTGCATGGGCTCCAAGGTGAGGGAGCTGCCGGGGCACGGGGACGTCCCCGGGCACCCTCCGCGGCCACGCCGGGAGGACAAGAGGCCAGGCACTTACACCTTTTTTTTTGCACATGTAATTTTGCACGTGCATCTTTCTTTTGCACATGCACTTCTGCAAACGCACCTTTGCACGTGCATTTTCTTTTGCACACGCGCTTTTGCACATGCATCTTTCTTTTGCAAACACACTTCTACACACGTGCTTCTGCACGACCGTGGGTGCACCCCAGGCAGGGACAAGCCGCTGCAGCACCCTCAGGCCCCCTTCGCCCAGAGGTGCTGTGCCGAGGGGGGCAGCGGTGCCAGCGCTGACCGCCACCGCCCGTTCTCCTCTGCAGATGGACGTCTTCTTTGACATCACGGGCTCGCGGTTGCCGGGGGGCGGCGGGCGGCCGGGACCCTTCGCCAGCACAGGCTCCTACGCAGATGCTCTGAGGAACCAGGGCATCTTCGGGAATATGGGTGAGTCCTGGGGGGTAGGGGGGGGGCTTGCTGTGGGACCAGCCCCCCTGTCACGCTGGGGGCCACCATCCCCCCTCCCGGCTCAGGCCCCGCTGCTCCATCCCACCAGGCAAAATCAACACGGAGGAGATCCAGCGGTCAGTGCAGAAGATCATGGAGCAGTACACGTCCACCCTGAAGAACCCCAGGTGAGGGGGGCCAGCGCGGGAGCCCGCTGGGCTGGAGGGGTGGAGGGGGCTGGGGATGCCAGGGGCGAGCGGTGCCAGGGGCCTGATCCTGCCCTCTCCGCAGTGGCTAATGGCCGAGCGGCGCATGGAAGACAGCAGCGAGGGGCTCGAGGACAAGCCCAGGAGGTGCTTCCCACGGCACGGATGGCAAACTCCGACTGGGAGCGAGCGGCCGGCACTGCCACCATCCTCCCCCCGCTCCAGGGGGACCGCCAGCATGGCGGGGGGCAGGGGCCCCCCTCCCCTCCCCCCCCCCCGCGCCCCCCCCCCCCCCCCCCCCCCCCCCCGGCCACTAGCACATCTGCAGCCTCCACGGACACCAAAACCCCTGCATGTAAATACAGCCAGTCCTGAGCACCGACACAGCTCGCCGCACGTGTGCCTGGATGCCTACTGGGGGGGGGACACGCCGTGTGCACGGGCCATGACCGGGATGGGGAGCGGGTACATCCCATCCCGGCTTCACGTGCCCTTTTGGGGGGGCTGCCATCCCCCCCACCAGGAAACCCAACCCCGGCAGCACAGGGCAAACCCCGGCCCTGGGCTTTCCCTGCTCGCTAGCAGGAAGCGCGCGAGGCCGAGCAAGCGGGAAGCCCTTGGCCGCCGAGCCCCGTCCTGCCACCGAGCCACCTCGGCACGCGGCCGGGGTGAGCGGCAGGCGCAGGACGTGCCAAATACGGTGATTAATCGCCGGCTCCTGCTCCTTCCTGTTGAAAGAGCCTTTCCTGCCTGCCGGGCTGCCCGCACGCCATCCCCTGCCGCAGGCGGCACGTAGTGCTCCTGGCGCATCCCCATCCCCACCTCCATCCCCATCCACGGTGATTAATCGCCGGCTCCTGCTCCTTCCTGTTGAAAGAGCCTTTCCTGCCTGCCGGGCTGCCCGCACGCCATCCCCTGCCGCAGGCGGCACGTAGTGCTCCTGGCGCATCCCCATCCCCACCTCCATCCCCATCCAGCACCCCCAGGCCCCAGTCCCCTGAGCCGCATAGCCCCCGGGATACACGGAGCCACGTGCTCCCCCCACCCACCGCTGCCCAAGGATGGGGACACCGCCGGGTCCCCGCCTCCCTGCCCAGCCCCTGGAAGCGCACGGTGCCAGGGTGGGATCGGGGTGATGGAGGGACTCCCCCGGGAACCACGGCCCCAGCTGCCCATGCCGCCCCCACGCAGCCCGGCTGGGAAACTGGGGGGACCCGCTTGCTGCCAGAGGATTTTCTGGAGCCCCACTATAAATCATCATGGAGCACCAGGCGCTTCCGAAGCCCGGGGGCCCCAGCTCCAGGCCAGGAGAGCAGGGGGTCCCCGGGGAGCCGCCACCTTTGGGGTTACAGAGCCCAAAGCTGCCAGGTGGGTGCAAGAGCTGGGGGGATTCTGTGGCTCTCCAGGTTGGGGCTGTGCCCCCGGGCGGGGCCCAAGACCCCCACACTGTCTCCCAGGGGCTGGGGGTGCACTTGGGGTGCCAGGACGGACCCCGCCGGGATGCCGAGCCCTGCGTCCCCCATGGCATGGCGTGGAAGGGGGATGCCCCAGGGGGGAAGCCCGGGGTGGCTTTTCCTTTCCAGCCGCTCCAGCTCCTTGTTTTGCCTCCTGGCCAGGAAACAGGGCCTCTCCCGGTGTTTTTTTCCATGTCTGGGGCTCGGGACACGCTTCCCCCGGCCAGGAAAACACCGCAGCCCGGCACAGGGATGCCGAGCCCCACGGCACTGGGGACCAGGGAGGGGCAAGATGCCAGAGCCGACAAAGGCACCAAGGTTTAATATCAGCACGGAGCCAAGAGCTCCCCTGCCCGCGGTCCTTGACCTTGGTGGCACTGCGGCAGGGGGACCCCCCCGCTGCGCCCCTCACTTGCCAACGCAGAAGTCCCTGAAGATGATGTCGAGGACGTCCTCGGCGCCCACGTGGCCGGTGATCCGGCCG